TCTGGTTGATCTGTCCCTTGGTGTCAATGGCGTATTAAGGTCTCCTGTTACAATTGTGTTACTGATAATTTGAGTTTTCATTTCTGTTAATAATTGTTTTATATAACTGGGTGCTCTGGAGTTTGGTGCGTATATATTTAAGATAGTTATCTCTTCCTCTTGGAGTTTTCCCCTTACGAGTATATAGTGACCTTCTTTGTCTTTTATGGTCATTGTTGGTTTAAAGTTCACGTTGTCTGCAAACAGAATGGTTACTCCTGCATTTTTTTGGATTCCTGCTGCATGAAGAATTGTTTTCCATCCTTTGACTTTCAGTCTGTGAGTATCCTTCTGGGTTAGATGGGTTTCCTGTAAACAGCATATGGCTGGATTTTGTTTCTTGATCCATTCTGCTAGTCTGTTTCTTTTGATTGGTGCATTGAGACCATTTACATTAATGGTTATTACTGTTAAATGCTGGTTTATTGTTGGAATGTTATCTCTCTGCTGTTGCATCTTTATCTTCCTGTTCTGTTTAATTATTTGCTTTGCTTAGCGGTTTTTTCCTTTGTGTATCTAAACTGTCTTTCAATATTTTTTGCTGGGTTGGTTTGGTGTTCATGAAGTTCTTTAGCTGTTCTTTGTCATGGAAGTATCGTATTTCACCATCAAGTTTGAATGATAGTTTTGCAGGATGTATCAGTCTAGGTTGGAAATCATTTTGCTTTAGGATCTGGAATACTTCACTCCATGCTCTTCTTGACTTTATTGTTTGTGATGAGAAGTCTGCTGTGATTCTGATAGGTTTTCCTTTATAAGTGATCTGTCTTTTCTCTCTGACAGCTTTTAATAATCTATTCTTGTGTTGGATTTCTGGGATGGTGATTATTATATGTCTGGGTGTAGTTTTATTTTGGTTATGACTATTTGGAGTTCTATATGCTTCACTGATCCTGATGTCAGTTTCTGATCTCATGTTTGGGAAATTTTTAGGTATTACTTCTCTAAATATCCTCTTGACATGCTTTATGTTGTCTCCTTCTTTTTCATTAATCCCTATCATTCTTATGTTATTCTTCTTTGCATCATCTTGCAGTTGTTCAATTGTTGTTTCCTGATTCCTTGTTATTTTTAAAAGATCTTTCCTTTCCTGTTCACTAGCTGCAATCCTATCTTCAAGGTCTGAAATTCTATCTTCACTTTCATTAAGGCAGTTTTTACAACTTTCAGTGGAGTTTTTTACTTCCTGTATATCTCTGTGCATCTGCATTATGTATTCTGTTTGTTTCTTATATTGCTCGTCTAGGGATTCTATCTTTTTGTTTAGTTCCTCCAATTTTTTATCTGTGTTTTCTTTAGATATATTCAGAATCTCTTTCATTTCTTTTATCATTTCTTCTTTTATCGAGATTATTTCGAGTTTGAATTTCTTTAAAGCTTCCTGGAGTTGCTTGTCAATTTCAGTAGCTATTGTGTCCGATATTTGAGGCGGATGGCATATATTTTCTTCTATATACATTGCTCCTAGGATTTCTTGAGATGGGCTGGAGGTTTGAGGTTGTAATTTGGTCTTTCGTTTTGTCATTTTCCTATATTTCTGTGTTTCTAGTGTTATTTGAAAGCTTCCTCAGGGTCTGTTGAAAATCCCCTTCTATGTTTGCAGCTACTGAGACTCTGGCACCACGCTACCCCAAGTCACTGGGCCTGCAGAACCAATGGCCCTCCTCTGTCTGCTCAGAACTCCGCAGTTCCAGACAAGCTGGGCCTCAGGGACACTGTGCGCCCACCTGCCCCTTGGAAGCTCCACAGCTCTCCAATCGCAGCCGGGTTAGGGTACTCACCACAGGCCGCGGTGCCTCAGGAACCTGCGATCCCTCCCTGCTTGCAGAGATATTCACAGTCCTCCAGACACACGGAGAGGCCGATGCAGGCGCCCCAGATTCGCTCAGCCCCTCCTCTGCACACCGATGGCTAGGCGTGGCAGCGAAACAGGCTGGGCTCTGGGGATAGTGTGGGCCCGCCCACCCGTCGGAAGCTCAGCAGTTCTCCAAGTGCAGCCAGGACAGGGAGGCGGATGTAGAGGCCTCAAACCCACTCCTCCACTTCACTGCACCCGGAAGCCTGGAGGGTCGGGAACAGTCTGAGATTTGGGGAGAGTGTGCTGAGCACTCACCACAGGCCGCGGTGCCTCAGGAACCTGCGATCCCTCCTTGCTTGTAGAGATATCCACAGTTCTCCAAACACACGGAGAGGCCGATGCAGGCGCCCCAGATCCGCCCAGCCCCTCCTCTGCACACCGATGGCTAGGCGCGGCAGCGGAAACCTAACTTGCATCTCTTGAATGATCAGTGATGTTAAATGTTTTTTTACCTATTTATTTGCTTTTTGCATTTCTTCTTCTGAGAAGTATATATTCATCTCACATGCTCATTTTTGGGCTGGGTCTTTAAATCTGGCAGAATTCATTTTTTTTTCGAGTTCTTTAAATGTTCAATAGTAATTCTTTGTCTGAAGAACAGCTGGCAAACATTTTCTCCTACTTGTGGGTTGTCTCTTCACTCTGTTGATAGTTCCTCTTGCTGTGCAAAAGCTTTTCAGAAGAGATCCCAGGTTTTTAAAATTATTTATTTATTTATTTATTTTTGTCGGTACCAGGGATTGAATTCACGACCTCCTGCTTGCCAGGCAGGTGTTTATGCTTCTGAGCTAAATCCCCAGCCCCTGAGATCCCAGTTGTTGATTCTTTGTGATAGTTCCTGTGATGGTTCCTAGGTACATTTCTTTGCTCTTTTTACAGACACTGTCTGACAGAAGAGAATCTGGCTAACAGCCTTGGCTGGAAACTGCTCCCACTTATAACAATCACCTGCCACTACCAAGTGCTTAATGGCCTGGCACTACCCTGAGAGTTAAACGTCATTCCTGTTTTATGGAAGAGAAAAATGGGCCTCAGAGCAAGTGCAGGACTTGCCGACAGCTATGTAGACAGTAAGTGCTCTAGCTCGGCTATCTCTATCTAGAGTGTCTTCTTTCAGAAAGGCACCTGTCTCACCTAAAGGGGGCTTTTATTGAGAGGAAGTGGGATGAGGGGAAATGTTAGAGACCGTAAACTATTGCATTGTAGATTTTCTTAGGGTAGAGACTACTTTTCCCCTCCTCCTCCTAACCACGGAGCTACATCCTCAATCCTTTTTGAGATAAAGTCTGAATAAATTGTGTAAGCTGGCTTCGAACTTGCAAATCTCTTGCCTCAGGCTCCCAGACCACTAAGAGTATAGCCAAGTGCCATATTCCACCTGGCTTGTAACAGGATTCTGAAGGCAGGTCTGCAGAGTGTATAGTGAAATGTCTAGTAGACAAAGTTACTATGTAGGACAAGACTACTTTACAGGTTATTTTTATGTGGATCATAAAAGCCAAAGAAGTTGCAACAGTGAGATGGAGCAAGAAATGACAGATAAACTGGGACTAGAATTGATAAAAGACCAATTACAACAGAGGAAGAACAATATGTATCTGTCCAAAGAACTCCTCAAAAAGAATTTTGGAACAGACCAGTCAAGAGACACATAAAATATCACAAGAACTTTCTAACAAAACAGCAAGACCAGTGAAATGTCAAGTATGTCCTATAGAAAAAGGAAAACAAAACAAATGTGCTATTACTGTAAGCTATACTTATGTATAGAACATGCTGTTTTTATGTATGAAGACTGCCTTAGGGGGCACAATTAAAGTAGGTAATTTTTGTTGTAAAGCTTTATATTCATTATAGTTCATATAGAAATTTATTTTGCTATTATTTTTTAGGTTTTTAAACAAACTGATGTTGAAAATGATGCTGTTTAATAAACATTAATTTAATACTTTATTTTTTAATAACAGTTTTTATTTTCCTATTAAGAATGCTTAGAAGGTTCTTCTTTTTCACTTTTTGTAATTTGAGATGCCATGCAAGAAATCTACAGGTCATATAGAAGTCATATGAAGGCCAAAAAGAAACCTAATCACAGGAAGTGGCCCTGAGACAGAGACAGAAATGGATTGAGATTGAGATTTAGTCCTTTCAGCACCTAGCTGGGCCTAGCTTTCCAGTGGGACTCAGGAGGCATCAGACATGTGAGTGGTCATTTTGGATATTCCAACTCAGTTGAACCCTGATGACCCCTCTGGCCAATATCCTATGTATGGTGTGGAAGAATTATTTAGCTGGGTGCATTCATTTATAGAATTAACTGTAAGCAATCAATCACTCACTGTCTTAAGCCATTAAATTTTTGGATGACGGTTATGTAGCAATAAATAACAAAACAGTGGGGGAAGGGATCTTAGGCGGCACCACATGATTTAAACTGCAGTTTCAGTCACTGCCCTGATTTTGAAATGATCTCTCTTGCTTACCCTTTGGGTGTGTGTGTGTGTGTGTGTTTGTGTCTGTGTGTGTCTGTGTGTCTTAGGGACTAAACCCAGGGCCTTGTGCATGCTAGACAAGTGCTCTGCCACTGAGCTGTACTCCTAGCCCACTGCTGCTCTTTCTGTACTTAGTTACAGGAGCCTCTGGAGTTTAGCGATTTACTAGCTCAAATTTATAAACTGCAACTGATCATACATTCCCAACTGTAACATTCAAGATCTCTACTGTGACACAGTTCAATTTGTTCAATATCTTAACTCCAGCTAGAAAACTTTTCCATTAAGCCCCTGCCTTATCTAGGAAATTTTCTTCTTCTGTAAAGTTTATTTGTAGCTTTTGAGAAATGGAATTATAATTTCTTCTACACAATTCTTCCAGAAGATATAATATGGACCACTATTGAAGTCATTTCTATTTAATGATTTTAATTTTCCTGGCTTAATTATAATTAATCCAGTAAAATAAACTTGGGACTTGGCAGTCTCCGTTGTACTCCTTCTGCCTCAGCCTCCCAAGTGCTGGGATTACAAGTGTGCACCACCATGTCTGGGTCCCCCGAGTTATGTTAATTATATTTTATGACAACAATTGAAATCAACTACATTACCATAATGTGAATGTCCACCTCTCTCTTTGAAAGCAGCTCCTGAAGAAGCTCGATTGCATCTGGCTGCCAGACATTTCCAACCTGTGTAGGATTGATACATTCAGAATCTCCCACTTTGTACAAGTGAAAACACAGAGAGTATCATGAGTATATAATGAAAATGGACCTTTAAACACTAATAATTTGACCAAGCTTCTCTCTATAGTACTTAAGGAATATTTTATGCTTTAAAACATATTCACATTAAAAACAAAAGGTCACGACTGAAACTTCTAAAAAGTCTGACATGTGAATGCAGTGCCTTCCCAAGGCCTTCAGCATATCTTCATCAGGGAGTGGGGGCAGCCACGTGAAGGACCATCTACAAGTGGTACTTCTGTACCCAGTGGATTCTTTGGGTAGGTATAATGTAGTGGACATCTTGAGTGCAGTATCACAAGGCTCTTGAGTCCAAACCACTTAGCTAAACTACTCAATTCTAGGTTTATTATTTTGCACTAAGTTTTAGTGTTGTTATGCAACAATAGATTGTTAATATAGCACTTTAATCTGATTTCTAGATTCAAATTTTACAATTGTAAGCCAGGTCCAGTGGCACATAATCCTAGGACATGGGAGGCCAAGGAAGGACTAATATAAGTTCAAGGCCAGCTTTACCTACATAATGAATTCAAGGGCAGCTTGGACAGCATAGTGAGACCTCCAACTCAAATTTTAGAGTCTTAAAAAAATTTACAGTCTTGTATCATTTCATTTATAAGCATATATTGCTTTATTTACTCAGATATTTTATATTCCTCAGTATAATTTTGTAGTTTTCTTTATGAAATCCCTTTGGCTGTTTTATTAAATTGGTTTTTCAGCACTATTTTTGTTGCAACTAAGATATTTAACTTTATATTCTAATTTATAAAAAAGTATTAATTTACAGCAGTATTTCAAATTAATCATCCCACACATTATTATGTACTCACTGGTATGGTATGATAGAGCTGACAAGGAATACAAAACTGGGGTGTATCAGGGTATAGCAAAATAGGATAAAGGTGACACTGCGGAATCTTTTCAGTGAATCCATGATCTAAATATTGTACCTGAAACAGTCCAAATAAAATTTATAGTTAAAATGTATTACTAAAAGCTGTGAAAGATAGGAGTGGAAGTGCATGTCTGAGCCTAGCCTGGGAACTTACGAGACCCTGCTCCAAAACAAAACATTTTTTAAAAGGGTGGGGATGTAGCTTACTGTGAAGGCCTGGGATTCAGCGCCCTGTATTGTCAAGGGCGGGGAGACATCCTGGAAAGATAATTATATTTTGGTTTGAAAACTTCCAATAAAAAATGAACACTGCATTCTCACATTACATAGTATCCAAAGGTTTTTCTTTTATTAGCTTATAAAAAAACCTCAAAAAATTTCTTCTGCTTCAACCAAATGGCCATACTCTTTCTTCTCCCTCCAAGTCTCTAGGAGTCATTATTCTATCTTCAGGTCAACTTGTTAAGCTTTATTTAAAAGGACTGTAACTTGTTTTTTTTAAACTTTTTATCGGTACCAGGGATCGAACTCACAACCGCCTGCTTGCAAGGCAGGTGCTTATACCGCTGAGCTAAATCTCTAGTCCACTGTAACTTGTTAAGCTTTATTTAAAAGGACTGTCTGTAATACTGTCTGTGCTTGGCTTGATGTTTACTACTTAACATGGCTTAAGGGTAAATCCTGAAATATACTAGGGGAAAGAATGAAAAATTCATTGTGTACATAAAATTATCACAGAGAATAAAAGGTAAAGATTAAACTATCAAAATACTTATAAATAAATAAACAGATACTATGACAGCGTGATAAATGTTTTTAGAAGTTCACCATCTTGTTCATATTCTATACAGGTAAAGTTCATAAAGTGTGATAATTTGTTGCACACTAAATTTCAGTTAACTTTCGTAGAAATGAAAAGCAATTATCTAAAACTACAAATGGGTATGAAAAGTGACCAATCTTCATGTAAATATCTGAATCTGTAAGAATCTAGGTGCTTAAATCGTCAGTCAAATTTGAAATCATTTTATTTCTATTTAGACCAGTTAGTAGTTCAGAAAAAAAGCATAAGACTTCAATGTTTAGGAAATGGATGCGAGGCCATGAACTATGATATCATTATCCCTTGACAAGGATGTTGACAGATCACTGAACCTAACTGCAACTTTCTTACTAAAACAAGAATAATGATTTGTGTTAGGATAGCTGTAAACCAATTAAAGTATGAATGCACATATGTGAAAGAAGCTGAAAAATTCTAACATGCCATGTAATTAATTGGTACCATCGTTCAACAGTAAAAAAAAACTTCTGTTTAAGTAGAAACAAAAGACTTCTCATTTTGATTAAAATGAACTTTCAAGTGCTAAATACCTGATGAAATATGTCATTCAATTTTTTGCTTTACTTAGTAAATATATGTAGAGGTATTTTCATTTTTATATTTTTACATATTCATTTTTCAACACATGTAGTCATTTTTAATAACTTTGAATGAAACTTGAGCACCACCCTACTATTCTAGAAAGGTAAATTAGTCCTTAATCTGAAAAACATAGCTGGGCCCCAAATAAATTTGCTAAGGAGATGATTAACATACATGAAAACATGTCATTTTAAGGATCACTATACAAGTAAGCGTATTACAACTAAGTAGACCATCTATTAAGGTACCACTGGACAAATCTCCACATGGAACTATTTTTATTCTTGGTTACTAAGCAGATTTGGACATAAAAATATTCTTTTTTTTATTTAAGGAGAAAAAGAAAAAAACAGAGAAAGGGTACAAGTAATACAAAATTTAAAAAATAAACAGTAAGAAATCATTAGTTAATAGATTACATATAAAAAATCACTAGTTAATAGATTACATTACATATTCACTAGTTAATAGATTACATATAAAAAATCACTAGTTAATAGATTACATTACATATTCTTATTACAAAAAAAAGTGAAAGGCATTTGACTAATCCTCCTATATGATGAAATGATCAAACTGATCAAATGATTATTTTGGCTTGTTTGCTTTTTTTTTTTTCCCCTTTCAGTTAGGGATTAAACTCAGAGGCACAGTACCACTGAGGCACATCCCTGATCCTTTATTTTCCTAACCCTATTTTTAACTAAATTTTCATGTGTTAAGATTTTTAAAAAACTGTTTAATGTTCTGGCACTTGGCCCAAATACTCACAATAGGATTTCACACTCACCCTGATAGTGCCGCCCACAACTTCAATTACTCTGCCTCGATACCACATAGTGTCAGAGCCTCTCACTGCACAAGGTTCTCCTTTCTTCCAGAAATAAGGCTCCAAAAGACCCAGGCATTTTAAAGTGCTTTGAATCTCATTCATCATTTTTAGTAGCTCAAATTCTGAGTAAAACATTAAAAATAGGAATCATTTGGGAAAACTGCCTACCATTTTCAGTAAGTCATCAATAATTTTTATTAATTTTTCAACTTAGATAATATAAACAATTAAAACCAGGCTCATGATAGAACTGCCATAAAAATTTGATTTGATCAGTGCCTTCTGTCTTAAAACATACTAGTAGCATAAAAATAATTATTCTGATAGCTACTTTGAGAGTACACTGTAAAAAGCTCTAAATACATATCAGGTTTTATAGCAGATATAAAAAAACTACCAATTTAAGATGCCAGTCTGACAGCATGCCCTAACAGAACATAACACAAATTACGAGTTACTTAATGCTTAGTTACAGTACAATGTTGAGGCTATAGTTTAAAACTGTTTCCTTCTTCTTCTTTTTTTTTTTTTTTTTGTAGTTCAGGCTGGTCTTTAACTATATAGATCAGGCTAGCCTCATACCCATCTTTCTGCCTCAGCCTCACAAGTCCTGGAATTATAGGTGTGGGCCACCATGCCAGATAAAATTCTAACTTTACGTTTCTTGCTAACTGGCCCATTCTTGCTAAGTGGCCCATTTAACTGAGTCACTGGCAACAATTTCTGACGTCAATGCCCATCCCAATCCTGCTGCTGCTGCTGCTTTTTTTTGTGGGGGAGTGGGGTACCAGGAATCTAACTCACAACCTTGCACTTGCCAGGCAGGTGCTTACACCACTGAGCTAAACCTAGCCCCCTCAATCCTGCTTCTTGGAGTTGTGTGCTTTACTACCTCCACACACTTCAGTTTATTCTCCATGAAGTGGACATGGGAGCACCTACCCAAATTATCAATACTGCAGGCCGACTAGGTGCATGGTGTGTAGCATACTGCCTGGCACATACACAGTTTCATCAATAACTATGCATCATGTGCAGTTCTGGACTAAGTACTGTTCCTACAGGTAAATATGGCTCACTTGAGAATAACCAACTGCACAGATTTATTTTGACAAATCAAGATACAGTATTCTGGAGATGAATGAATGGAAGGAATTATCAGTAAGTTTACAGCTACCATATCCTCACTGGCAGGTAGCCTCACAGGGAGCCAGTAGTGCCCACGCTGGAGTGATGGGATCAAATGACTGATACATTATTATGGATAGGTTCGGCTTACAGTCAGGAAGTCTTTGCACTTAAGCCTGAGAACTCAGGAAGCGTCTGAACCTTCTCAAAGGGTCTGAATCTCCAGTCATTTGTTAATATTTTTCTCATTTTTAAGTATATTTTTAGATGTGTCCAAATTTGTATACATGTCAGGTCTTGCAACTCTAGATCTGCCCCGAAACTTAGTCCCAGTATGGGGAAAATAAGGGAAGATATGGTGGGAGAGGGCACGTCATGTTGTGCTGACCATGATCTAAGGGTCTTTAGCAGGTTTTAGAAGACATCTGTGTTGCCCTCCCTCCACACCTGAACAGTGCTTGGGATATTCAGATAATCACTGGGATGGTTTCTAAATCCTACATTTTGCAACTACAGATATCACTGATGGGGGCTGGGGATTTAGCTCAGTGGCTTAAGTGCCTGCCTTGTAAGCGGGTGGTCATGAGTTTGATCCCTGGTACCGATAAAAAAAAATTAATTTAAAAGATATCACTGATGTTCTGTGGTATGCAAGAAAACAGAGTGCCAGGATTTGTACATACTCAAGGATTTCGAGGCTTATAACTAAATACACACATACATTTGCACAATAGAAGGAGAGAAAATCCGGGTGGCAAGCTTGACATACCCATGACAATAAAAGCCCAGGGGCTTTCCACCAACTGCTTGATTACAACCTTACTCCCTTACTCTTGTTGGTTTCACTACCCTTAATCTTCCAACCAGGCTGAACTCCTTTGTTTTACTTTCCCTATCTTTATGTGAGTTCTCTATTCTTCCCTAACATTTCTAATTCTAAAAGGGTATCTCATTTTTAAAATTTGGGTCTATGCATAACTATCCACAGTGAACTGTTCACTGATAAGAACAGCAGCTGACTGTGCTATTAGGAAGTGGGGCCTGGCAGGTCACTGGGTGACTGAGCTTGAAGGGTGACTCTCCTTTCCTGGCTTCTCCCTTTGTTTTCCAGCTGCAATGACATGAGCAGCTTTCTTCCACCAGGTCCATTCACCATGCTGTTTTTGCCTTAGAGTCAGCAGACTATAGAGTGAAACCTCTAAAAACATGAGCTAGAAGAAATCTCTCATAAGTCACAGATTTTGAGTATTTTTGTCCCAGTAACAAGGAAAGTGGCAAAGACAAACAGTTTAATATAAAAGGGAGCAAAACATATGGCCAGGCATCCCACAAATGTGAGGATTTTTAATGATGCAAATAAAAGATGCTAAACCATGAAAATACAAATTAAAGGAACAGTTTCATGCCTACTAGATTGGCAAAGCTGATGATATGAAGCACTAAGGATGTAGAGCAATAGGAATTCTCAAGCACTGCTAGTGAGGAATGTAAATTGTTATGAAATACTGTGAGAAAAGCCTTGTTGAAAGGAGGGGACATAATGGAATAAGGGTGCACAGGTCTTTTAAGGTTCCGGCAATACTTTGTACCTTCGTTAATGTATATAATACTCAATATTTTTATCTAAACACTTTTTATGTCATATATTCTCACATTTATAACATTTTACAATAATTTTGAGAAGTTCATTTGGGAGTATACTTGTAGTTGTCGTTATAGTTAATGTGATCAGCATACTGACCCCAATCCTGAGATGCGGGAGGAGGAATCCTTTGGAAGCCCATCTTCATGTGGTGAGAGCGTCCCATCAGGGTTCCCACTTTAACTGAAGGGGACTTCAGTTTTATTATTTTTTTATCTTGATCTTTATGTAACTATCAGGAAGGAAGTTCAAGGTTTTACCTTGAACAACTCTGAGGATGAATGCATTCTTTGACACGATTACCCTCCAGTGTTCTGGTTTCATTTTAAAAAAGTGCTTGGTATGTTCTTTATTTTCATGTCAGCTCAGTATGTTTCAAGACAGGCATGGGCGTGTGTCTTACCTAACTTATCTGGAACGGTAGTTCAATATGCCATAATGATAGAAATGTAAACTCTAAATTACTCTCTTTTTAACAGTACAACACTCATACAATAAAACCCTTAACATTGGGATATTAAAATAATGAGCTAGTTGTAGTAGTATATGCCTGTAATTCCAGTTACCTGGGAGGCTCAGGTAGGAGGATCAAAAATTTGAGTCTAGCATGGGCAACTTAGTGAGACTCCATAACATAATATAACATAACATAACATAACATAACATAACATAACATAACATAATGTAACGTAACGTAACGTAACACAACACAACACAAGGCTGAAGATGTAGCTCAATGGAAAGTGTGAAGCCTTGGGTTCAATCCCCAGTACTGGAAAAAGAGAAAAAGAGAGAAGAGGACAATGACAGAGGAGGAGGAAACGGAGGAAGGAAGAAGAAGATGAAAAAAGGAAGATGGAAGAAAAGGCAAAGAATGGGAAGGAAAAAGGAAGAGGAAAGAGAAGGGGAAAGAAGAAAAAGAAAAAAGAAAAACCTAGGTTCAATCACAAGTTTTTCAAAAACCAAAAGAAAAATAAAAAAGCATTTTGCATGGATTATGTGAAGTCATTTAATCTTCCCCCAAACTCTTTGAAAATGAGGTTCAAAGAGGTTACTTGCCCAAGTATTAAAATCAAGCATTCTGATCATAATTCTTCCTAGAGAACTTCAGTTGCTAGTTTCACTGTCATTGAGAAATCTTTTATCATGTAAAAGATCTAGCAGATGTGGTGGTACATGTCTGTAATTCTAGCACTATGCAAGACTGAGGCAGGAGGATTGCAAGTTTGTGAGCCCAGACTGGGTACCTTAGAAATTCAGTAAGACCTAGTCTCAAAATAAAAATTTTTTTTGGTACCAGAGATCGAATTCAGGACTTTCTTATAAAAGGTTGGGATACCGTTTTGTGTGAAAAGCCCCAGGTTCAATTCCAGAACTACAAAAACCAAAACCAAACCAAATCAAATAAAAAAGCATAAAAATTGTACCTGATAACTTAGGCACCACGAATATAGTTCCATCATCACCAATGCAGCTTACTATTGCCTCAAATACTTTCTTGTTAGGAATAACTGGTGGTTTATAGCATCCAGTGGTTCTTGGTTCTGAAATTTTCTCCTTACATTCAAATATCCTGCGTTTACTGGTTACATCAGCAGCCTTTTTGTTAGTGTCAAAGTTAATTTTAATACACTTAGTAACCACTGAATCTTCCTGTTCCATGGGAATTTGTTCAGATGTCTCAGGTAAGTGGATAGTATCTGATTTAGTCATTCTGTAACATCCAAACAAAAAAAAAATCTAAAAAGAGCAAATATAAAAATCTAGCAAAAACAGCGTAAAAGAACCCTTGAAATATACTTAACATTTTTAGAAGATATTTGTTGTACTCTAGGATATACTGGGCTATGTTGTTACATGAAAATGATTGTAATTTGTTAAAATTACTTTGAATTTTAAACGAGATTGATGAAAAATGTAATTTTACTTAATTCTAAATTACTGCCTCATAATGCAAGCTATTCTCTCATAAAATCTCCTAAGAAATAAATTCCAAGTACAGGGTACAATACATTCCAATTGACACTAATTTATCAATACGACATCTTCAATTTGGTTTTTGGAAACCAATTTAGAAAATAAAACATGTTCAAAGTTACTAATTCATCATGTCCATAATTAGAATATACCCAGGTAGCAAGTTATAAATATTAATACAAAGAGAATATGAGTCTCTTAAAAACAGTAAGGTAATATTGAGATATTAAGTGTTATTTGTAATATGCTAATTCAGCTTTTTTACTTCGCAATCCTATCTTTCAATTAAGTAAGTATACTTATACAAAACAATGAAATCCTAAAAGATCATATTATCTTATTTACTATTATAAAAAACTAGTTGTTTTATTTAGCAGATTTATAGCAGATTTTTATTTCTTCGAGTTTTCAGTACTTTTGTTTTAGTGAGAAATAAATACTGATGAATCACCCTCAACTAAATGCCCTTAAAATAGCTAGTGGTACTATTAATGCAGTAAAAAAAATCGAAAACCAAAAAATTCCCCAGAACTTCACAATTGGTGTATGTCACCTTTTCATTTCATCTAGATAGGAATTACTTTAACCTAATGCAACTTAACCCAAAGAGAGTTACATACACTGTGTACCCATTGCTCAGGAAACTCCAACCCATCTACTATATCTGGTCTCATTTCATTTTTGATTTCTCATTCTTTTTCTATTTTACCAGGTCTGAGAGTTTAGTCAAAGAGATCTAAAGAGATCTGGTCCTGTACGGTATGTATATAATCCTAACATACCTTAACATCTAGAAGAACAGACAGACATTGGAACAAGCTGGAGCCACAGCAATATTCCAATCATTCTCACCTGTACTCCAAACAAAGTTGCTTAAATTAAAATTTAGCAACTGTGGGGATTTTTAAATGTGAACATTATTCAACAAACTTTTTTCACTCATTTGTATCACACAAATACATATTGTAAATACCAGCCAGAATTTTCAATATAAAGCGTAGACATTTCTGCCTAAGCAAAGGATGCCAAAGGGCTCAGACCTGGCATTCATTATATTGTTTCCCTTTTGTTTGTTTTAGAATATGGATGCCAAGGGAAAAAAGAAAACTATAAAAGCCAATATATAAGAAAGAATCTGGGTATAAAATAATTGATGGTACTGAATAAAGAAATGAACATTTCTAAAGGAATTTGTTTCTGAGCTGGCTTCACAATAGTTAGTTTATAATTCATATTGAAGAGCAAATAAGATGCAATTCAGAATTGGAAGCACAAATAAATATTTATGCAAATAAATAGGAAGCATCCATCACAAATTGATGTCAAAACAATTTAAAAAGCCTATACCTTCTTTCTCTCAAAGCCAAACCTTTTTTAATCAAGTACTTAGAGACATCAACATGCTCTCCTTTTTCATCTCTGCAGAAAATTTTCACAGGTAATGGCCATGTTGTATTGTTTTCCTGCAGTGATTTAAAAGCTCAGTTAAGTATGACACACACAAAAAGTTCTTATAAAGAAAGTACTTTTCACAGGCATCTCTTCTACCTTTCTTTAAGTAAGAACAAAAAAATTCCCAACTGAGTAAAGTTATTTTGATATCTAAATACATTAGAGGGAAAGAAGGAAGATAGCACAGATGTGTCAACAGGGACCAACATTTGTTGGTGAAATGTATCAGGAAGATCTTAACATTAAGGTTTACCAAAAAAAGAGCAAATGAAAAGAAAATCTCCATTTGAATAAGGGGAAAAAAAAGACACCACCAGTTAACAAGTTCCTTTCTTCGCCTACACTGTATGTTATATAATCAATTATACAATCATATAATTTTCAGGGTGTGCCTTTTTTCCTCTACAAAAAGCAAAAGAAATAGCTATAAAACATATACTCTACTTAATATTGAAAAATTTATAAACATCTATGTTTATAAATTTAAAAGGTAATATGGAAAAAGAGTTATATAAGAAAATTTTAATCAATTCAGAAGCTAGGAAACAGTAACAAACTAGGAAACAGTATCACAAGTAAATATTTTTAAGTACTCTTAAGATTTATGCCTCTGCTCAAATATTATATTTATTGATATACAGCTAGTTTTGAGTTCCCTGGAAGCCTAACTTTTTTTTTTTTTTTGGTACCAGGGATGCAACTCATGACCTAGTGCTTGCCAGGCAGGTGCTTTCACTGAGCTAAATCCCCAGCCTGGAAGCGTAATTTCTCAAACTAATTAGAGAATAGAAAAAGCCTTCATAAATACACTATTGTATACATGTTGTATTTCTAATATGAAAATCAGCAAATAAAGAATATTACTTTAGAAATAATTTGTCACACATCTATTATTAAACAGCATTTTACTTTGAAATATGACCAATTAAGTTTACAACAAAATTCAAAGGGCTTATATTATTTTTTCAATGAGAATATAAACTGAATTGATGAAAAATTAATGAAATAATCAATATATATATATATCTGTTGTACCTGTTTGCCCCATTGCCCACCTGTAATATGATGGTTGCGATGGCTCCAGTGAGGTACAACGAGAGACAGTCACAAGCTGTCGCTGTCCACTTGTCACTCCCACCAGTTGGTCTAAAACAAAAAAATGACAGCTTATAAGATAACAAACAGTAGAGGATATTGAAGTACACTGATACGAGGAACGTTACATATAAACATACAGAGTTTGAACCAATTAAACATGTAGTAAGAAGTCTGAGTATGAATTCATGCTGTCATCCCAGTTTTCTTTTCCATTTCACAGCCTTTTTTGTTCATCCTTCTGTTCTACTTTGGTGCATAGTATATGTTAACTTACTTATGTAAATCTGTTCTGCACTACACTGAAGACCCCAAAAGAGTAGGTATAGTTAAGGAAATTCACATTGTCATATGTTTCACATGTGTAAGTAGACCACAAGTTACTAGAGAACAGAGATGATGTACTTTCTCACCATCACATCTCATGGTACACAGAAAGCTTCTTTACAATGACTCTATTGCTCACTTTGGGGGAGTTTTCTAGAATTCAAATGTAATTCAAGTAACTACCCATCAATGTAAGCCTCCACAGTTTATAAAACTGTTCATTCATTCATCCTGGTAGCTTTCTGAAAGAGTTATTGGATTACATTGATACATGTTTAAAAGAGCACAACCTGTAATAGTTAAACCTTGAATGTAGCCAATATGTCTAACAACAGGTGAATGCATAAAGAAATTGCACTACTTATACACCACAGAGTATCATTCTGCCATAGAGAATCATAAATTTGAATCACTGACAAATGAAATAAATCAGACACATAAATGTAAATATGTCATGGTTCCTCTTATATGATAAATCCAAGATATAAATATTCTGAAGAGCAAAATAAAAAAGAAATAACAGGAAACTGGGAAACAGATCTTTTGAAAATGTAAAGGGATCTGGAGGGGGCAGTAAAAGAATTAATATGTGTTATATACAACCAATTCTCCATGATGAGTATAATCATTAAAAGGCACAAATCTATTAAATTTTTTTTTGTTTTTTGATTTTAATTTTTATCGGTACCAGGGATCGAACTCACGACCGCCTGCTTGCAAGATAGTGGCTTATGCCACTGACCTAAATCCCTAGCCCCACACAAATCTATTAATTAAAAAGAGAGAACTTGGCTAATTTATAAAGTTACTGAAATTTTCTAAACATATACAAAAGCCACATTATAAGATCTATCTTTCTGTTTTCACTATTATCAATAAATGACTAATTTTATTTCATCTGTACCCCCAAATATCCATTTTTATTTCTACTTTTTGAAGTAAGACCCAGGTATCACATTGTATCAGTTGCTTCCCCATTTCTGGACATAATATGCAGTGCCCACAAATTAACACTTGAAGTTTACCCCGAGAGTAACATGGGCAGTGCACTTGTTTACACCGCTATCCCAAGCACTGCTTGAGCAGATGTCATGTCAACCAGTCAAATCTTGTACTGAGTAAATTCGATAAAATTGTTTTTACGTTTCCCAGTCTGTTATCTTATAGAATTAATGAAGGAAAATGCCTTTTGGTCACCATGCAAGTTAAATAATTGGACTGGCAAATGGCTAACGATGAAGAAATTTAATGTAGCTCATGGTATCAGCAGATGAATCATTTCATCTGCAGTTTCCAAGGTTTGTTTGGATTTAGAGGACATTTCCATGGTATAAGACATGCTCCTCTGTCTCCTACATTCTTCATAGTTAGCTCTATCAGACTCAAATAGAGTTTTCAAGTGCAGATGATTGATTTTCATCAACAGAAAATTCCAGAATATGAGATGAAAAGTCAGTTCAAGGCATGTACCAGCAATCCATGCACTTATTCATTACTTGCTTTTGTATTTTTTGTATTTTAGTCTACATATTTAACATTCTTAGTTTTTGCAGTGATATCATGTCTTTTCAAACTTTTAATAATCTTACTTCTGAATTTTCCAATTCTGTGTTAGATTCTTTCATAGCATCTATTATTTCCTAAATTTCTTTTAGTTCATTCTGAAATGTCAGATTACAGTTTCAATGTCCTGTCATATTCTTTTGGTGTATTTTCATTGCCTCCTGGGACACTGAATGGTTTCTTCCCTTTTTCCTCATAATAGTTTGTATAGGATGTAAGCCAAATCCTTTCTTTTGCTGTTTTTTTTTTTGGGGGGGGGATACCAGGGATCATGACCTTGCGTTTGCTAGGCAGGATTTATGCCACTGAGCTAAATCCCTGGCCCTCTCTTTTGTGGTTTTAACTAAAAGAAATTTCCTATGTTTTTAGGAGGAAAGAATAGATCATAACTGTTCTTCTAGCTTAATGTCTCTAGACATTCTTATGCTTTTTCCAAAAGTGAAAGAAAACATGACATTACATGGTAAAGTCTTATCCCTCTGTTATTTCCTTATATTTCTATTTGAATCTTGAATATTCTTATTCATCTTGCTCAAGTTGAACTCCAATCTGGCAGTTTTTTCTTGGTGTGTGTGTATGTGTGTGCATGTATGCAGGCATGCATGTGTGTGATTACTTTGAAGAAGCTATATGCTAAAAATAAAAGCCTTCAGGACCATGGAACCATGACACATCATGGTCCCACGTGGATCTGTGAACTACATCCTGTATCACTCCATCTTCTGATTAGCCTGCAAGCTCCAGTGAGATACCACAGCTGATTCCTATTCCTCAGAGCTGTCAGACCTTTAGTCAGCCTTCCCATCCTTTCCCCCTAAATGTTGAGTCCTGCTTGATAGTGTGTACCAACTGTTGAATTCTGGAGTCACATATCCTACTACCAATTTTTCTTGCAGATGTTGAATGTACAGTCTTTAGTTTTATTAGGCAAGCTGTGCTATTTAAATAGTGGGATTTTAGGAGATTAAAAGTACATTTGCTATTTTCCTAGAATCCTCTAAAATTCACTATCTGATAATTTTTATACTTTACCTTCCCATGTAATTCTACACTTATGAGATATACTTTATTTCTGATTTTACTCCTCAGTTATTAGTACTTGACCATTTGAATTTTACCTTGGTACCTTTCATACCCATTATCTGTACTCCTTAATGCCACTAAATTTATGTGCTCCAAGTATTTATTTTTGTTTCTTTTTAAAACCTTGAATTAACAAGACTAATGAAAATTTTGGAACATGTTATCAAAATTCAAACTGACAATAACTCACCTAAAAAGAAAAATATTTAAAATCAACATTTGATAAGGAGAAAACTAATTCACTCATCTAAAAACTACCTTATATCAACAAGGGAGCATTCCACAGATAATCTTCCAATTGTCTTCAGATTTTCTTGAAGTTTTCTTAGACAGTTTACATTCACTACTAGTTCAACACCTACGTCATACAGCAAGACCTATGGAAACAATAATTTAAGTCTATGGAAAGACAAAAATTCAAAAATGCTTTTGGAACCTGAAAAGCGTAATAAAAATAAACACAGAAAAAAAATTCCAAGTTAATTAACTTTCATGATGACATGCTAACTGCCTTACCTCTACCAATGTGTCTGTAACCACTCTGGTGATCTGGCCTCTTTGCCACTGATGTTTATCTGGGATCTTAACAGCACAGTGCATATCATTTTCCCATTTAACAGGTTTCCATTCTGAATTTTCATAAGCTGCTATCATCTTTTCTTCTAAACTATATAAGGATAAGAAAGTTCAGCTGTAACATGTTTTCTACTGCCCCCATCCTCATTCCACTGCAGTCCAAGTGGACATCACGCTTCTCCTTGAATGTGGCAAGCATATCTGCACTGCAGGCCTTTGACGTAGCTCTTCACTCTGTTGGAGATCAACCTACCTATGGAGCTTACTCCCTCTCATCTTTTCAGGGATCGTTTCAAATGCCACTGTCTCTGTACGTTCGTGAAAATTATTTACCTTTTCAAATTCTGTATTTTTCTCAATCACCATTATCACTGCAAGCTAAGTTTTATGTATAATCACTCCTTTTACCCAAATTTAAGTTCTATGACAACCAAGGTTTGACTAGTGTTAGCCACAACATCTAAATATAAGCTGTCATGGAGTAGACAATCAATAACAACTTGCTAAACAAATTTTTATATAGTGAAAGTAACCAACAGAAACACTATTTTTAGTCTTTTAAATAAGGGCTATTTAGATGGAATAATTTTGCTACTTTCACAATTCTGTTTATGGGGCTGGGGAAATAGTGTGGTGGCACAGTGCATGCCTGGCAAGCACAAGGTTGTGAGTTTGATTCTTGGTGCCAAAAAAAAAAATCTGTTTATGACTTCTATATCTTTGAAAGAAAGTATATCACGTTTTCTTTATATATTATACCTCTTAAGTAAGTTTTCTGTTAATAACCACTGCACATAAATCTTCTGAGGAGATATGACATTACATATATGCACAGGCAGTTCCTTGTTATAAAGAAATTGGAAATTCTCATTAGGTAGAGATTTTATAGATACAGGATTTAAGTTGTTTACTTCATGTGAAATAATTTCTTCTGGAGAAGGATCCCATATTTCAACATACTTTTTAGAATTATCTTTGGGGATATATCTGAAACAAATAAAAACAAAAATTAGCAAAACATCTGGAGGGATTAAAAGTAACAAGAAGCAAAATGCAATCTCTTCAGGACCTGATACTAAGACACCTGCAAAACAACTTAATGAAGACAAAAATAATATACATATCTGGGAAGTAGGAGGCAGCTTTATCTATTAATTTCTTTTTATTCCTTTATCTTCCTTTTTCTCCTTGTCATCTTCCTTTATTTTTCAAGTTTTACTTCTTTCATTTTTGCCTTCAACACTTCCATCATCACCAGTATTACTAGTAAACTTTAAAAATCTTTATTTACTTGACTCTGCTAATATTGTTGAATTGTGTTCTATCACTAATGATGGTATTATTTGTTGCACTAAGTAGATATTTACTGTATGTTGATAGTTGGTTTGTCACTGGGTCTATGTAATTACAAATCTTTTTCCTATTGTTAAGAGTAAGGTATGGTGGCAACTTATAGTGGTTTTCACCTTAGGTCAATATTCAGTTTGTCTTTGACTCTCTTATTGTTGCTGGTTTTGTTACTACTGCCAGTGGCAACATAGTTGTTGTAATCGGTTTTTACTATATGCAGATATCTGATTGGTCTTTGTGTCATCAACACAAAGGTTAATTAATAAGGTTAATTTCCAGAGAACTCAATGTAGGCTCAATTACATTGCTGCTTTTGCTTCTCAAATTAAAAAAAGATTTTCAGATCTTTGGACAGAGCCAAAGGCCTAACCCAGTGATGGTGGAATTTTTAGAGACAAGTGCCCGAACTACAACTCCCAACCCACTTTATGGCAAAGTGCCAACACTGCAATTAAGCTTGAATATTGAGGTTTAATTCACAAAAACCCACACATTAACATCTTTGTTTTAAAAGAACAACACACATGCCACCTTTGGCCTTTAGGTAGCCATACCCAGAGTGCATCAATAGAAAGCAGACACTAACTAAAGATATTTCCACACTAGCAATGAAGTCTGTCTACTCTTATAAAATGTCTACCCTCAGAATATGCGAATGCACATGCATGCATGTGTGCACACACATACACAACAGAAACATGAGAACACAAGGCAACAAAATGCCTCCTCAAACTCTCAACTCCACCAAAGCTCATCTATGGGGAACTGATGGGGAAGAAATGAAAACCAAAACAATTGAATAACATGAAATGATGAAAGAGGAGACAACAGATCAACAAGATGAGTTTAAAGATGATGTAACTAGACATATAATGAACTTAATCAGTGAATTTAAAGACTAATCAAAATCTAGGCAAGCTAAACAAAATGACACAAACTATGAATGTCTAGTTCACTTGTTAGCTGTGCACCCATTTTTATTAGTACATGTTTGCAGTACAAAATGATTACATTCATCATGGGGAGTTGATTCATGGACATAACACAACTTACTTCTTTTTACATCCTTTTACATTCTTTTTTACATCCCTTAACCCTCACTTCATACCTTGGTCTCCTCTACTTTTGCAAAAAATCTAACTCCCTGTTTCCTATTATCCATCTTTTATTTTGCTTCGTATTTATATTTTGGGTTTCTCATTAAGAGAAGCCATGCAATATTTTAAGCTTGTCTTGAATTTTACTTAACATCATGGTCTCAAGGCACATACATTTTCCTACAAATGACTCAAGATTATCTTTAATGACTCAAGTTTATCCTTCCTTATGGCAGAGCAGCACTCCATTGTGTATACATACCACATTTTCTTTATCCATTCATCTGCTGATGGTCATTACAGACCGTATATAGTCCAAGAGTTAGGTATCATGAATTTTACTGCATGTGTAAGTGCTTGGGGTTACTTCTGTGTCTTCTGTTCTGTTTGCTGATTCACATAGCTATTTTTGTACTATTTATGCTTTTAAAAAAATTATCATACCTTTGAAATCTGAGACTTGATATCTGAGACTGCCTCTTGCTTTGCTCTTGCTAACCAGGATTGCTTTTCTTATTCTGGGGCTCATCAGGTTCCATATGAATTTCAGGATTGCTTTCTCTGTGAGTAAAAAGCTGTTGCTGTGGTTTGAGTGCTTAATGTCTCCCAAAGTTCCATTTTTTAGAAAGCCTGATCCCAAAGGTTGCACTGTTGGGAGGTGCCGTGGACATTTAGAAGTGGGGCCTTATGGGAGATGGATTAAATGTATTTTGCATGAGATGGACATGAGTCTTTTGGGTCCCAGAGGATGTTACGGTTTAGATCTAAAATGTCACACCCATATTCTCATGGATGTGGTAGCTGAGTGGATTCTGGGGGTATATACTCATCTCAGGACTCATCCATTCATGAGCTCAATTGCTGAATGGGCTGTTAGGAGATGAGAACAAGCTGGAGATGGGCCACTTGGGGGCATGATCCAAAAAAGTATATATTCTTATGCCTGACTCCTCTCCTCGTTGCTTTCAAACTGCCATGAGTTGAGCCCTTTTTCCTCTGCCAGGCCCCTGTGTCATCCTGTTTCTGCCTTGGAGCCACCCATCTGTGGACTGAAACCATGAGCCAGAATAAACTTCTCCTCCTTCAAGTTATAGGTGTCAGGCATTTTGTCCCAGTGACAAGGAAAGTGACCCACTGCTTTTTGTTTTTATACTCTTTGAGGTAGAGAGTTGGGTTGTTTGCGATCTTTCTTTGTGATGCAGGTATATCACAATACATTTTCCTTGTTTTAACTTTTAAGCTTGAGTATATAGTATTTCCATTTTTATTTGTCTTGGAGCTTTTTAAAATTTACCTTTTGATTTCTCCTTTGACCCACTGGTATTAAAAATGTCTTATTATTAATAAAAAATACAGACAACTCTCTACTACCTTTCATAGGAAGTTCTTTTTTATAGGAAGTTATCGATCTTTAATAACTTTGTAACAATCTAACTTATTCAGTAGTTTCTCTATGTTTCAAACTATACTATAAAGAGTATAGAACAATTATTCTCATAAAATTATATTTTGAGAAGGCAAACATCATAAAACATCATTTGGCTGTTTTCTTCTAAAGTTAAAGCTATACTTACTTCACTTATAAAACCAGCAATTATACTCTCACATACTTACTGTTCATAGTAGCTTTATTCATGAAACTGCCCCAAACTGATAATAATAACCTAAACATTAACATTAATAATTAGTGAATGATTTAAACTGTGTCACATCTATATAGAATACTATAATAGAGAGAAACAGACCACTGGTGTATGCAACAACATAGAGACTAAAGTGTTATGGCAAAATGAAAGAAGCTAGATACAAAGGGCAAGATATTATATTATTGCTTATATAAAGTTCTTTTTATAAAGAATAAAAACCACATCAGTAGTTTCTAGGCCTTGGAGAAGAAACGGACTGATTAGAAAAGGGACAAAGGCACTACGTGGAATAGTGCAAATATTCTGTATTTTGACTGTGATGACACATGACTATGTTTTAACATACAGAAGAGTCTACTATATCAAATCATTTATCTGTGCACATAAAAAGAATTTTTACTATATGTTTCAAGTCATACTACAAAGAATATATAGCAACCATTGTTGTTATAAATTATTTTGTTGTTATGTTATTTGCTATAAATTACATTTATATAGAAAAACGGCCCAACATAGCTTAAATGTTTACTCTCATTTCTTTCTTCCCTCAAGATTTTTAGTGTAAACATGGCCAGGTCATTTTTTATTGTACTTCTAGCTTCACCTGTGTCAAGGTCAGAGTGGGGGCTAGACTAAAGAAGAGTATTGTAAGAGGCATCACTAGAAGCCACTGGTAGATGTCACTGTTACTCTAGCTTAAGATGACAGCCATTGTGTATGGGTGCTATCCAAATAGGAGTTTTTAGATATGTTCTTTTGCATCCATTCCCATTGTACAAGTCTTTACTGTGGAAGAATTCTTTGTTGTTAGGAGCCATTGAAACTGGAAGTTGAACACATGTGCAGGGCTGCTGCATGGCTGGGCAACACAAGATTGCAGCTGAGGACACCCGGCTCTAACTCCAATTAACTAAATAAAGACTGTAGTTGCAGGCATTTCCCTCCTGTACTGAAATGTAACATGGAGATCATCTCATAAGATAGTTCTCCTAAATTAGACACAATCTGTTATTTGGCAAAGTCTATTCAATTTTCTGTATTTTCCACTTTAAACCCTTCCTTGTGAATACTAAATAAATACAGGCTGCCCAGTGACATTCCTTATTTTAGCCAAGAGAACCCCCTAACTCTGTAGAGGGTTTTGATCTTCCTGGAGGCAAAATATCATATCGCTTATTTCATTTATTTTAAGCCTTCATTGTACACTTGTATGGTTATTTATTTATAGCAAATAACATAACAACAACAAAATAATTTATAATAACAATGATTGTTATATATTCTTTGAAGTATGACTTGAAACATGTAGTAAGCCTACATTGTACATTGGGGATCTAAGCCAGGTCCTCCGTACTTTATCGTGACCTTCATTGTCTTCCATCTATCCATCGACTCTGCTCTTTTGTTTCTCAGCTCACCTTTGGCACAGGCCAGTGGCTAGCAGTTAAGAGCACAAGGGCTTAAACTTGATTTTTTAAAATAAGTATCCACTTAGAGAGGCTGGGGATGCATGCAGCTCATTGGTAGAGTACTTGTTTAGAATGTGTGAGGCCCTGGGTTTGATCCCCAGCATTAAACTAACAAAAAATTTATCACTTGAACCTAGAAAATTCCTGTTTCTTTAAAAGGGAATGTGGGCACCACTCCCCGAGCCCAGCTAGTTTGGGACCCTTGCTAGGCCAGGACAGGGAATTTCACAGCTGCCTGTTGCACTGGACCAGCTTGGCAGGTCTTCTACTGGCCTGCACAGGTCTCGATGCTCTCTGCCTGGCTTGGTGGACTCTGGAGTTCTGGGCCTGTGAGCTCCATCCATTCCAGAGCCTGGGCAGCCTGGGGTAAGTGTCCCGGCACCATCCCCCGAGCCCAGCTAGTTTGGGACCCTTGCGTGGCCTGG